ACAGCGGGACAAGCCGGGCTCAGCACAGCCCCTGCCCAGGGACACCCCCGGCACGGCACCCGGGAGGGATTGAGGGACCCCAAAACACGGATTTACATCAATCCCCCGGAACCAGCCCGGCAGGAACTCATCTCCCCTCACAGGATCTTCCCATCGGGAAGGCAGCAGGAATTTAGCAGGGTAACAGGAGATGCTCTGCAGTTCTGCAGGGTTTAACACAGAACTGGAGGGGTTAACATTCCTCTGGCTGCCTGCCTGCCCGTCCTGCAGCTCCCCAGAGATGCCGTGGGGTGGGGAAATGCCTGAAGGGCATTTGTGGAGCACAGGGGACTCCTGGGGCTCCTGCTGCTGCTGGGGGGATGAAGGTTCAGTCTCAGCATCCCAAATTCAGGGCTGTGCTTCTGTCCTGCTTTTCCATGGAATTTGTCCTGCTTTGCATGGAATTACGGTGAGCAAGGGGAGCAGAGTGCAAAGTGGACATCAAAACTGGCCTTGACTGAGCATCACTGACTGGTCATCATCCCACAGGGCCATGAGATGGGACCAAAGCTGGGGGAGCCACAGGCACCAAATGCTGGGTGATCCAGAGGACCAAAGACAGGGATCCACTGGGACCAAAGCTGGGGAATCCAGGGGGATCCAAACTGGGGGATCCACTGGATCAAAGCCAGGGATCAAAGCTGGGGGATCCATGGGACCAAAGCTGGGGATCCACAGGGATCAAAGACAGGGATCCATGGGACCAAAGCTGGGGGGATCCATGGGGACCAGAGCCAGGGGAGCCACCAGGACCAAAGCTGGGGCTCCATGGGATCAAAGCTGGAGATCCACTGGGTCCAAAGCCGGGGGATCCACGAGATCAAAAACAAGGATCCACGGGGACCAAAGCCGGGGGATCCAGAAGAAGCAGCAATACCATGACAGATGGAGTGAATTTAAAGGAAAAGCCCTTGGAATGGAGGCCCCTGGGCTCTCTCCTTCACAGCAGAGCTGTTTTGGGGCTGTTCCACACCCGGGGCAGGCAGCTGCTGTCCCTGGGGCACGCACATCTGGGACACCTGGGCTGCAGAGGAGCCCACGTGCAGCCAGGGCTCCGGGGGTGATTCCCTGCATCAGGAGCCATCTGCTCCAGGGAAAAGCATGGAGCAAGCCTGAGCTCATTTTCAGTTGTTTCAGCTTGTTATGGCAAAAATAAATCACCTTTGTAAGGCCAGCCATGACTGTATTTAGGATTGCTGCCCGTGATGTCCACACACAGAAATAGTTCCCAATCCCAGTGCAGGAGCCCAGGGGAAGGAGAGGACATTGCTGGGGACAGCACAGGACAGGAGACGGCCCTGAGGGGTGGATGGGGCTGCTGAGGGTCCATCTCTGGAAATGTCAGGCTCAGCAGGGGCCTGGGCAGAGCTCTATGTAGTGGCTCCCTGCTGTCTCTCTGTGCAGGAAGGTTCCAGGAGCCACAATTTATTTTAAAAATGAAATTAAAACCCCTCAGAATGTGGTTTGTTCCATGCACTCACCTCATCTGAGATCTGACCTCCAAAAGTGACCCAGGTCCCTGGAAAAAGCAAAATAATCTGTTACTAGAAGAGGGTTTCCACATCAAAAATGAGAGTTCATCAGAATTCCCTTTGGGATTGAATGGGTTTTAGATGGGGAGGGCTGGCTCAGGGGGTGCTGCAGTCCCAAGGGAGCTCCTGCAGCCAGGCAGGACAGGGCACAGGCAACTGCCCAGGGCAGCACCCAGGGGATGCTGTGATGCCAAAATACAGAGCTGGTTTCAAATCATGGGATGGTTTGGGTTTGAAGGATCTTAAATCCCATCCAGAGCCACCCCTGCCATGGCAGGGACACCTCCCACTGTCCCAGGCTGCTCCCAGCCCTGTCCAACATGGCCTGGGACCCTTCCAGGCCCTGAAATCTGAAGCTCTTTCCAAATCAGAAATCATTTTCCAAAGCTTCAATTTGACAAATTGGAAAAAATCCGTGATGCTGACACAACACATCATTTGGGGAATGAAACTCTCCTTAAATATGTACTTCAGCATTTAGCATCCTGAAAGACAAAATTAGAATTAAAAAAAAAAAAAAAAGAATACATAAAAAAAGAGAAATATTTCTTCTGACAGGGAGGATTTCCAACCCACAGTGACTTTTCCCTGGGAGCTTTTCCATGAAGCCAATGTCCAGTGCCAGCCCAGCCCAAGGGCACTGCCTTCCCTAGGCTGCCTCCTAAAGCTGCTGCAGTTTAGGCTCAGTTGCTGACTCTGGTCTATTATTAGAAAAACTTGGGGCATTATGTCTTTATGATCATTGCTTAATAAAAAAAAATAAAATTAAAAAATATCCTATGGTGGAAGAAGCATGTGGATTTAACCAGATCATAAATCAGTTTGAGTTGGAGGGGACCTTTAAAGGTCAGCTGGTCCAACCCCAAGGAATTCCCATAGGAACATGATTCCTGATCTAGATTTTGCATGCATGGATTTATTTTAGGAATACAGATCTCCTCAGGCAGTGGGGAAGAGGCAGCAGAGGGAGGGCAGGCAGCAGGTCAGACACCGCTGGGCTCAGCAGGGCTGTGCCACCCTTGGGCCCCCTGCCAGCCTGTGCCAAGGCCCTCTGAGCCCAGCACTGCCCCTCCTCACCCTGCAGAGCCCCACAGAAACCCAGGGGCCAAATTCAGCCTTTCCATGGAGGGATGGATGCACGGATGGATGGATGGATGGGGCAGAGCGCGCGTGGCTCTCCCACCTCCCCAGAACTGAAAGCTCTCACTGACAGAGGGGCTCAGCTCCCAGCTCAAATCCCAGTGAGGTTTCCCCAGCCCTGGAGGTGTCCCAGGCCAGGCTGGGAGCAGCCTGGGGCGGTGGGAGGTGTCCCTGCCAGGGCAGGGTGGCACTGGGGCACCCCCTCCCACCCCATCCGTAATGCAAGGATGGGACAGGACAGGGACTGCAGGGCCAGGGCTGAGCTCTGATGCTGCCAGGGGACAGGAATTGCAGGAATTGCAGGAATTGCAGCTTCCCTGCCTGCCTGCACTTGGAAAGGTGCAGAAGCTGCTCCCAGACCCTCATCAAAGAGGGATGGGGTCCCTGGGTGCCGGGACATGAGCCCCGAGCAGGGCGGAAGGGCTGGGGCAGCTTTGATCAGCCCTGCTCAGAACACAGCCCCCCATCATCCCTGGCAGCAGCAGCTCGCTCCCTTTCCCTCAGAAAAAGGCCAGTCTGAATTTTTTAATACGTCAGGTTTCTCTCAGTGCAAATAAAGCTATTTAAAGATGCACAAAGTGTGAGTTCAAACTGCAACTCCTGACTTCCTGCAGAACAACCCGAGCTGGAAAAGCCAAGTTTGCCACAGATCAGAGATGAAATGGAAACTAAACAAATGAGCAAAGAGCACACATTTTCTGGTTAATTTTGTATTTTCTCTAGCTCTGTAAGGACAACAATAATGGGACAGGAGTACCCCTGCTGCACCTTGCTGGCTACAGAGCTCAGGAGAGGTATTTTCTCTGATTATTGGAGTTTAAATGCTCTGGTCCTGCACAACAAAGATAAAACTGAAACCTGTTTTCATTTTATCTTTAAGCTTCTTCATGCAGATTGAAAAAAAAAATAACCAAATGAAGCCTGATTTCCATGTTAAAGCTTCAGAGGTGTTATTTTTACAGGAATACATTAAAATGTGTTTGTACCAAAAAAATGGGTTGAGACTGTTTATCTCAAAGTGACTTTTTTCCCTTTTGCATAAGCAGCACACAGGTGCACAGGTGAGAGGGAAGAGGATTATTCATCCTCCCCACAGAGTGCACATCCTCTCAAAATTCACCTTGTGACACAAAGCACATCCCACTGAGTGACAATGTGCTCGGGGCCTGGGGCACAGGGAGAGCTCAGATCAGAGTAACAGCTCCTGAAATGCAAGGAATAAATATCTGTGCTGCTGGGCAGCCCTGCCTGAGCCCCCAGCCCCAGCTGGGCACAGCAGCACCAGCAGGAGCACACGGGGGGGATTCCATGGGGGTTTTTCCCCATCATTATCACAAAAGCAGGCAGGGATGTGAGTTTGGGCTCAGCAGGGTGAGCTGCAAGCACCAGGTGTGGCCGGGAAGGGAAGGGCTCTGCTCCAGGAGCCAGGAGCAGGGAGGGCACCCCCATGCAGGCACAGGCTGCTCCCCTCCCTCTGCACGTTGAAAAAGGCAAAAAAAAGCACAAGGAGCATTTGGCATTTCAAACAACAGCCAAGGATGATTCACAACCTCAGCCAACACACTCATTTGGGAAGAAAAATATTCTGGAGAAAGACACGTATTTTTTTAAATTGCTGCTTTCCCCTGTCCAAGTGATTGTCTCTCTCTCACCCAGCCCAGCTCATGGCTTGGAAAGGCATCCCCTGCCCCAGGGCTCAGGACAGACAGACTTCCACCACTGCCCCTTGCCCATCACCTTCCTCCCTCCTGCCCTGAAAGGTTTCCCAAGTGGATTTCCTCACCCTCAAGGGGAATCGTGCACAATTCCAGCTTTGGCTCCCAGTGCAGCCCAGCAGGGCGTGGTGCCAGAGCAGAGCCCACCTGAGCAGTGTCACAGCACCAGTGTCACCTGTGCAGGGGCAGGGCTGAGCCCCTGCTGCTGCTGGCAGGGATGGTGCCCGTGCCAAACCTCACCCCAGAGCAAGGACCAAGGGCACAGCAAAAAACCTGCCTGCCTCCAAAAAACCAAAACCTGCCCCTCTAGGCTCACAAAACACCATTTCTGCAGCCAGCCCTCACCTCCTGTCTGTGGATTGGGACTAGGATGGCAGCTTTGTGCTGCTCCTTTCCCTGCTCATAACCTCTCTGCAGGTCAAGGTTTTCTCAAAACCTTGGAGCCCCCAGGCAGAGTCTGAGCTGCACAGGTGAAAAACCATGACCTGCCTTTCCCTGGAATCACAAGAACACTTTGGATCCAGCACCAAGCAGAGCCTGGCAGCAGCCCAGGGCCAACCTGGAAAGGCTCACCTGGAGCAAACTCACCCAGGCAGGAGGGGAAAGCTCAACCCAAACGGATCCAGGCAGGAAGGGAAAGCTCAGCCCAAACTCCCCCAGGCAGGAAGGGAAAGCTCAGCCCAAATGGATCCAGGCAGGAAGGGAAAGCTCAGCCCAAACTCACCCAGGCAGGAAGGGAAAGCTCAGCCCAAACTCACCCAAGCAGGAAGGGAAAGCTCAGCCCAATCTCACCCAGGCAGGAAGAGAAAGCTCAGCCCAAACTCACCCAGGCAGGAAGGGAAAGCTCAACCCAAATGGATCCAGGCAGGAAGAGAAAGCTCAGCCCAAACTCACCCAAGCAGGAAGGGAAAGCTCAACCCAAATGGATCCAGGCAGGAAGGGAAAGCTCAGCCCAATCTCACCCAGGCAGGAAGGGAAAGCTCAGCCCAAATGGATCCAGGCAGGAAGGGAAAGCTCAGCCCAAACTGACCCAGGCAGGAAGGGAAAGCTCAGCCCAAATGGATCCAGGCAGGAGGGCAAAGCTCAGCCCAAACTGATCCAGGCAGGAGGGCAAAGCTCAGCCCAAACTCACCCAAGCAAGAGGGCAAAGCTGAGCCCAGGCAGGAGCAGGACCCAGCTCTGGGCTGTTCCCAGGGAAGCTCAGCCTGGCTGAGCAGTCCCAGCTCCACGAGAGCTCAGTGCCCCAGGAATGATGCTCAGCTCTGCTCTCAGGGCCCACCCAGACAGCCCTGTGTAGCCATGATATTTTCTGAAAAATCCTTTCCTTAGGATTTTTCCTCCTGAGAAGCTGAGAGGCCTCAGAAACAGAATGTAAACATTGATTATCTGCTGCTGTGGAATGCAACAGGTGCATCTGGGATTGGTCTCATGTGGCTGTTTCTAATTAATGGCCAATCACAGCCCAGCTGGCTCAGACAGAGAGCCAAGCCACAAGCCTTTGTTATCATTCCTTCTTTTTCTATTCTTAGCCAGCCTTCTGATGAAACCTTTTCTTCTATTCTTTTAGTATAGTTTTAATGTAATATACATCATAAAATAATAAATCAGCCTCCTGAAACCTGGAGTGAGATCCTTGTCTCTCCCTCACCCTGTGAACACGGTCACAGCCCTGCCAGCTGAGGAGCTCGTTCCCCTGAGCCAGGAGGAGCAGGGTGGCACCAGAGGGTCCCTGCTCCCCGCCCTGCCCACCTCGGATCTCTGCCCCCTTCCCCTCCCGTTCCCATCCCACAGGATGATGCACTCTCCCACCTCGCTGAGATTTTGCAAGGCTTTTGAGGAAGACTGCTGAGCCTTCAGAAACTTCAGTGAGCCCTAAATTAGATTTTCATGCTGCAGAGAACACAGGGAAACACATTTATCTTTTGGGGAGCTGCAAGAGAGAAGGCATTTAGGAAAGTCAGATAAAGCAGAGCTGGGAGC